ATGGTAAATCTCAGCTAATGGTATCAGGATTTCAAATGATGTATTTGTAGAGGGAGGCATTTTAATTACATTTTTTATTTGGAATACTGGAAAAGGTAGTTATGCTTCTTGACTTCCTTAGTATGTGGGAAACAATAATAGCATCATCCTATGTTGCACAGTGATGTTCATATTTATTTTTCTTCTATCTTTCTTTATCTCTGACAACACTGTAACCACTGCTTAAAAAGCTTGAAATGATGTTTCTGCTTAAGTTTACAAATGCATTGATTTGGTTAATTGCAACATATCACTTAACATGTTGTAGGGTAATACAATTCTGATGTAGAAAATGAGAAGTTTATGGTCATCAAAAGGGTACAAAACACTGCTCTAAAAAGTCCATGTATCTTGAACATACATCAAACCAATGTGGATTCTCAATTTTGAGTAGGAAATTAATGTGTATCTTTATTGGGTTCATTCCAGACTGATTTATTTAGAATAGACTCAATAGAATCATCACTGACAATATCCATTGTTTTCAATGGGATGGTACATCACTAAAGAACTTCCATGTGAGAACTGATGGTACTTTTATGTCCTGGCTCACATGGAGTGCCTGCATGAAAAAAAAACGGCCTCCTCTTATGAGCCGGAAGTTCAGCATACAACAAATCTATTTGGATCTAGACTTAAATGTACTTAAAACAGACACATTGAAATCAATGGATGTTAAGTCAGTCATGATTCCACTGAGCCTGTTCTTTTACTTTTGCATGTGGAAAGTGACAACAGAAAGGAGCCAGATTAGTGCAGTCTCCTCACAGGAATGCATGAATGTCTGAATAAGCTCTACTCAGGAAGTAAACTGGTAAAATGTAGGAAATGAAGATAAGAGCACTCTCCAAAGTTTTTTTTTAATATAATATTTCTGTACTTGATCAGCATCTTTCCATGTTCCCAGGGACCCATTGTGTTTCTAGATATATGGCTGTATGTACAATGTATTGCTGCTCTCTTTTTTTCCAGAAGCCAGCATCCTGTTAGAGTTTCCATGAAGTCTGTGTAACTTGCAATGGCTAATTGTGCTAATTGACAGGTGTCAGAATATGTCTCTGTTGTGTGCTTGCTCACATGTCTGATTGTGCCACAGAAATGGGTTGTGTGTAATGAGCTGCAGCAAGTTATGCAATCATTGTGCAAATAGGAATAGAATTTCAATATTTTTCTGTTTGAAAACTCATATAAAATTCTGAATTTAGTGTTATACTTTGAAGGAATATAATTGGATGGTATAAGGAGGTTGTATGAATTGTGTTTTTAATTGTTTAAAAAGTTCATCCACAACAACACACAGAGGTTTTGATGTGGGTCACAGGCAGCTATTGTCATCTTTCTAAAGGAAGATAAAAATTAAAGTGCATTTCTCTTATCTTTGGGTCTATTACAAGCCATACAAAGTGTCATAAGTTGTGATTTCCTTTGAAATCCATAAATCCTTTAAATAGGCCCACTCATTTATTAGCCAGCATAATCCAGTGAGTGCTGGTGGAATAGTTACTGAAATATAAGAAGAAAAGCCAGAATGCTTATGGGAATCTTCTGGTCTACAGAAATGCAACAGAAATGTTTAGTGATGGTGGTGGGAAACAACTCAAAATACACCCAGTGAGGACTGAGCATGCTCCTAGTGACAGTATGGACCTTCTGGAAAAAGGATAAGGCTACTTGCTAGCTGTAGCAGAGCACATTTTGTTGCTGGTACCGCTTGTTTTATGGTATTAAGCTTATTGCTGCTGAGATGAACATGTCTGAAGCAAATGATGACCCTTGCATCTTCATGATGGCAAGATGTCTCCCTGATGTCATTCTGGCAGACTTGGAGCATTAAGTTAATTTTCTCCTGGATTTCTGAGCTGCGTCCTTTCTACCCCGCGGAAAGCCTGTGAAGAATACAGCTTTTGACCAGATGACAAAGCAGAGAGGTTGAAATTAGGTGCATTAAATTAGGATATGACAAACTGCCTATCTAAATGTATCTGTCACAGTGTTACTTAAGCAATACAATACCCAATTCTAAAAACGAAATCCAGCCACATTCACAGAGAAAGAAAAACAGGCATGGCTTCCAGATAAGTTGGCCATTTTGGGAAAGTAACTGTGGATCAGTGAAACCTGTCATAATGCTGTGGGTATACATTTTTTATCTCAGGATTGTCCCTTCTCTATTCTAGATATGTTTTTTGAGCTATTCCAGTGAACACAAACTGCTAAAATATTTATTGCATATTAGCACCTTGAAAACTGGGTGTCAGGGAGCACAGAAATGGCACACTTGAAAGCCAACTCTATTTTTAAACAGCCTCCGAAAGGGGAAAGTAGTCATATCTTAGCTTTTCTTTGTTGCCAAGGTCAGGCCTTGGTGTCTGACCCTCATATATAATGTAAGAATGTTGTACAGTGACCCAAGTCATTGTGCTGTAATAGGTTAGTAATGCTTATAAAATGCTAGCAATGCTACAGGTAGTAATACTACACTGAAAATGTTAGTGTCAAAATTATTACTGTCTTTTGCAGTGTGCTTCCAATCTTGTATAGTGATTACACAGACAGACATTTGAATGAAAACACAAAGCAAATCTTTGAGTGAAAAGCTTGCACCTTCACTGGATAACAAAAAGGATATGAAATGGAAATAACTCTAAGATATGTATGCATACATAAGCTTTAATAGATGGTAGAGCTGGGTGATTCAACCCTGAGTTAAAATGGCAACTCTAACAGGGAGTAGACTTGAGCTTACAGTTAGGGTTGTACACAGCAAAAACATTAAAATTTTTGTCATTTCAGTATTTTTTCAGGATGTTTGTTCAGTTGCTGAGGGGTTTTTTATGCACTGATTATTTTATTTTACACAAAAGGACCTGTCTCTTTGGGATCATTTCATTTTGTTTCCTCCCCATTTGAGTTCCTGGTTCTAATCCTAAAAGCCCTGAACAACCTGTTAAAAACTACCACTGGAAAGCAAAGGCAAGACAACAGAGAATCAGCCTACTCCAAAAGCAAGCAACAGAACAACCACCAACCCCCACTAAACAAAACTGTCTCCAAAACCCCCACCAAAATACACACCTTCGACATAACAAATATACAGTAAATTAACCAAATATATTTTTTAAAATCAATCAGACAGGGAAAGCACACATACACAGAGGTGATAAATGGTAAAATTAAACACAGAGATTCTTTCTCAAAAACCAAGAAAAACAAACAAGTGAATAAAGGCAAAAAAAAAAAAACCAGTCAAAGCCCCCACCCCCCCACCACCAAAAGTACTAGAATATCAGGAGATTTCTGTCCACCTACCACTTGATGCCTTCCTTCTCCTCCTGAGCCTATTTCAGTACTAGGTGGGCAGCAAAATAATTCAAAGACCCAAGAGCTGGGGGTGGGGTGGGGATAATCAAAGAGATGGTGTGGAGAGAGATCAAAAAGATAACACAAAGAAGGCAGGAAAGGATCCAAGAGATAGAGGCATGGACAATTGTGCAGCTATGCAGCATAACACTGAGAATGATAAAACCTTGCACATCCACAAGGAACAAGTGAAAGAAAATATGATTCCTAGTAGGTTCCAACCAATCCAGGCCCTTTTGTAATGTCAATCTTCATGCTCCCTTGTAGATTTTTTGATTAGCTGCTTTTGTGATGCAACTGGATGAAAACATTCACACGGGAATTTGATGGACAAGGAGTGAAAGAAAGGTTAAATGAAAAAGGGAAACATGAAAGCTGTTGTGTCATTTTTTATTATTAATGAAAAGCATCTGTTTTTAATATGAAGTCACAGAAAACTCCCCCAAAAAAGAAAACAAGAGCTTATTTTGTGTCCTGCACCTCTTTTTTTTAAAACACAGAAGTTTCATTCCCGTTTAGTTTTAATCACTTCAGTTGCTTTTTTTCTCCAACTGGAGAACATTCTTTTTGTGAAAACTTGAAAATCTTTCCTCTTACATCTGTACTGTCCAAGCCAATAATTTTAACCTAATAAAACAAAATAAATAAAACAAAATAAAATAAAACAAAACAGAAAGAAATATTTCCTTTTTTAATTGAAAAAAAATTCTAACGTTTCATGAGAGGTTATCATAGGGTTAATCCAGACACATAATTTTTCATGCTACGTATGATAGTAGTAAAGCTTGTGATCCCTTGTTTTTTGATTAGATTCAAGCTAGTAAATATCTTGCGATTAATCAAAATGAATTGTTCTGCATGTAGCGTAAGTCACCTTTCCAGATGGGGCTGTAGCATCAGAGGCTTTAATATATATTTCCTTTAATCCTCTCTTTAACCGACTTGGCGTCTGCTGTTTTGTAGAAAATAATTTTAAGGGATACCAAGCAGAGGCGCTAAGGAGTCAAATGTCATTTGCCGTTGTGAACTTGATATAGAACCAGGATGGTTAACAATTGTGGCTTTAGCTATTACAATCTTATTTTGATAGAAATCTATTCAGATATATTTGTTTCTTTTAATTTTTTGCCATCTGTATGTTGAAAGATATAAAGAAAATAATTCTCAAGAGGGGGAAAAACGTAATGAAAACCTATCCAAATTTGAAAAGAGAGCTGTGGATTACTTACAATAACATTTTCCCTTGAATTGATTCCTCAGATAATTGAGTTCTTTCTTATTCTTTGATTAAGATTACCCTGACAATAACTGACTCAAATGATGGCTTTATTATATTTTTATTAGCTTTTAGGAATTCCCCATGATGCTACTAACTTGCAGATTATGAGCTTCCCTATGGTCAAAAATCTTCTGGAAAGACCTATACAAGAGATAATTTGGACTAGATTCTCCACAGTTAATCTATAAATGATGGAATGTTCATTGTAGTAAGGTTACATGTATTAACTTCTTTCTTTCTTTCTTTCTTTCTTTCTTTCTTTCTTTCTTTCTTTCTTTCTTTCTTTCTTTCTTTCTTTCTTTCTTTCTTTCTTTCTTTCTAGGAGACCTGGAGAGCCTCCATTAATAAATGGCTGGATTCCTGTATTGGGAGAAGCCCTGAATTTTAAAAAGGATCCTTACCAGTATTTATTGTCCTTGTATCAAAAACATGGAGACATTTTTACGGTATACATAGCTGGTAAGAGGCATGCTATTACAGAGATATTTATATTTATATATGTGTACTTATAAAATATAGTAAAAATGCTAGTTACCGTTCTCATTCTTTTCTGTGCTTAAAAATATGAGACAGAAATTGCTTGTACAAAGTTAATTAGAATATCTAATACTGCTTCCTGCCAGATGCTTTTTCTTGTTCACAAGCAGAACATGAAGGGTTTCCTGCTTATTTGTTATTGAGATCCTTATGTTCAGAGGTATATGTCTTTGGTAATAGAGCATTCTTGTTAGAAAATGTATATTGTAACTATGAATGTGACAGAAACCGTCTCATTCCTGCTGCTTTTAGATACTTCAGCATGGCAATAACTTAAGATGGAACTTTTTGCCACACACATGGGATTTCCTCACATTCCCGAAGATGATCCAAATTCTTCATATCTTCCCTTTCTCCGGCCCACCTCCCAATTTGGTATGCACTAGTTAAGGCTTCTTTAGTGGAAATCTTTCCATGTTAATGTTTATTCACTAACAAATAAGGAATACCCCCTTTGGGTGGTATTGGTGATTTGGGTGATCTTTTGCTGTGAAGCGCTGAGGTGATAAATTTTAAATGATATTAATAATCTCCACCACAAAGAAACAAAGGGAATCTTTTTTGGGGGGAGGCATGTGCAGTATTTTCCAAATAATTGGACCGCTGATTTCCAAAGGAGATTGGGAGTGGAGTGATCCTCCAGAGTCAGGGGTAGAGATGGGAGGCTTTCATTGAAGCACTAATCTTCTAAACATAGGAAGAACAACGGAAGGTATTTTTCATTTGCTTGGGAATGCTGTTACAGTTTAAAACTTTTCTGTTTGAAGATAACTTGCAGGTCAGATCTCAAAGAATGAAGAAACAAGGAATTTGTTTTTATCTTGTCCTTAGAGAGAACCAGAAGCTGTGAAATTATTTGGTAATTTTAATTGACATCACTAGCCAAACAGTTGCTTCAAGGCATGATATCTTACGTTAAAGATATAGCTGCAGCTATAACCATTCTTTTCTTCATACTCTTCTGTTTGTGGGGATCACCCCACACGGCAGTGAATTTTACTATTGCCCCCTAATGCAGGTTTTATGGCAGCTGCTCCCTCATTCAACTGCAAGGTGGGGTGGGCAGTGTCCATTGACAACCGATGGGACTTTTATCTAAACTCTGAAGCTGCGGGGTGGGGTTGGGATTATTCATAAAATCACAGCTGGGAGGGACTTGTTAAACCTCCCCTTCGCATGCACATAGAGGAACTGCCCCATGATCACACACACACACCACCTGTACCACTAAGAAAGGCATAGCGTGTATCTGTATTATGTAGTCAAGAATTTGAAGTACACCATCAAACTACAAACCCTAAGGCAATGTGGCATATAGTTATGCTGTCAAATAGCTATAAGTGGTGTCAGACTGTAGTGTGGACACATTCATAGCCACTAGTTGCATCTTTTCCAAAATGTTTCATTTGGTTTTTAGATCCCGAGAAGTGATAGCAGAGTACTCCTCATATTATGGATTGTTCTATTTCCACCTTCAAAAGTCACTCCTGAAGATTGGTGGAGAGCATGGGGGATGGTATAGACACTATATCTGGGAGGATGGAATTGCCAGAAATATCCTCCTTGCATTAGCAGATGTTTCTTCTGCTTATTTGTTGCATTATTTTTCCAGCTTCCTGATAGGTGAATTATATGGAAAAATAAGGGGATTTTCAAGCATTGTGGGTGAGGCTGTATAGGACTGTGGTTTGAAATTGGACTAGAATTCCACTGGCTGTGCGGAACTAAATATGTGGTTGTGTAGTTGCACATGTATTTGTATGCATGTGACTACCTATGTATAAAATACGCAGGTAAATGGAGTCAATTTATCTTTTGGATGAGAGGTCTGGTTGGTCAGGGGATGGTGATTTTATGTTTACATTTTATATGTGCTAACCACTCAGAACAGTGGCAATAGCACTAGATGGGCAGGATAAAAGTCAAACAAACAAACAAACAAACAAATAAATAAATAAATAATAGAATTTGTGTAGATTCTCTAGTTAGGCATCCTTCAGTCTCGAAAGACTATGGTAACGTGCTCTGTATGGAGGACTTGGAACAGCGCCTAGTGTGGCTGAAAAGGCCAATTCGAGAGTGACAATCTCTTCCACACTGAAGACAAATCCAATCTGTCCCCTGTCCGGCTCCCTGGTTTTGCTGCTTTTGTGACTTCCTCTTTGCCTCGGCCTGTTGGGCAAGGGTCTCTTCAAATTGGGAGAGGCCGTGATGCACCGCCTGCCTCCAGGCTGAACGCTCAGATGTCAGGGTTTCCCATCTGTTGAGGTCTATTCCTAAGGCCTTCAGATCTCGCTTGCAGATGTCCTTGTATCGCAATTGTGGTCTCCCTCTGGGGCGCTTTCCCTGCACTAATTCTCCATAGAGAAGATCGTTTGGAATCCAACCATCAGCCCTTCTCACAATGTGCCCGAGCCAACGTAGAAGTCGCTGTTTCAGTAATGTATGCATGCTGAAAATTCCAGCTCATTCTAGGACTACTCTGTTTGGAACTTTGTCCTGTCAGGTGATACCAAAAATGCGTCGGAGGCAACGCATATGGAAGGCGTTCAGCTTTCTCTCCTGCCGTGCACAAAGGGTCCAGGACTCACTGCAGTACAGCAGTGTGCTTAGGACACAGGCTCTATAGACCTGGATCTTGGTGTGTGCCGTCAGCTTCTTATTGTGCCATACTCTCTTTGTGAGTCTAGAGATCATGGTGGCTGCTTTGCCAATGCGTTTATCCAGCTCGACATCTAGAGAGAGGGTGTCTGAGATGGTTGAGCCGAGGTACACAAAGTCATGAACAACCTCCAATTCTTGTGTGGAGATGGTAATAGAAGGAGGTGAGTCCACGCCCTGGCCCATGACTTGTGTTTTCTTCAGGCTGATTGTTAGTCCAAAGTCTTGGCAGGCCTTGCTGAAAAGATTCATGAGTTGTTGGAGGTCTTCAGCGGAGGGGGCAACAACGGCTGCATCATCTGCGAAGAGGAAGTCCCACATGCATTTCAGTTGGACTTTGGTCTTCGCTCTCAATCTAGAGAGATTAAAGAGCTTTCCGTCTGATCTAGTCAGGAGATAGACACCCTCGGTTGCAGTTCCAAACGCATGCTTCAGCATGGCAGCAAAGAAGATTCCAGAAAGTGTTGGTGCGAGGACACAGTCCTGTTTCACTCCGCTTCGGATGTCAACGGGGTCTGATGTTGAGCCGTCAAAAACTACAGTGCCTTTCATTCCCTCATGGAAAGATCTGATGATGTTAAGGAGACGAGGTAGACATCCAATCTTGGGAAGTATTTTAAAAAGGCCATCCCTGCTAGGTTCATCCTAATCTTAATGTTAATCTTTCTGTCTGTAAATTACTTGAGTGGCTGGAATCCAGTTCATCATAGGCCATTGTAAATGGGCTGGGTATTCTACTCCAGCAACAAGGACTGTGCAAGTAATTGCACAATTGGTCACTCAACTCCTGCTTGAGCAATTGCCCAGTGGCAGTAGCTATGCAACTGCATTTCAGCCAGTGTAACAGATATCACATGAAAGAGGGTTTGTGTCTCTCTATATATGTTCACAGAATGTCTTTGGTAGACTGTGTTCTTAGATGTAGGGAGCTCTTTACCGATTTAGGGGTACAGGTGAACAGGCAGTTTTTGAACGTTATAATCCAACCTTTGATTAAACACTGGGTCTTTAGGATTAGGGATACAGTAATACAAAAGCAAGAGGACCTCTCACCATCAAATGACTTAAGAAATCTGGACTTTGCAGGTGATAACATGAAATCTGAGGATTCAAACACTGATGGCTATAGAAACAAGATCCTATTTAATCATTTAAGCAATGATTGTTTATATAGAGATACAAGTAACATCTCTCTTAAGTCCTCAGGGATTTAAAAAGTCACTCATTTGATAAAACTCAATGGTGTCTACAATCCCTGAAGAGGAAGTTCTAATCAATAAGTACTTCATTTTGTCTGCAACTGGACAATAGTGTATCATCAGTAGACTTCAAATGATCCTCCACTGACTAATTAGAAGCCTCTTCAGTTTAAATTCTTTGCAAGAGCATCTGAAAGCTCACTCCTAAAGCTCAACTTTTGCCCTGACTGCCAAAATGGCAGCTCAAGTCCATCTCTACTTGAAAGAACGATGTTTACCTCCCAAGATCTTTGGGAATTTTTCAAAAACTTTTTCAAGTAATAAGTCCTCTAATGGTCACGTCTAACTCTGCCTGCATAGGCATACAAAGCTACCAAGGCTGGCTGGGTACTCAGTGTGCCAGCCAGAAACTTATACTGGCATTAGCAATAAGAAGACTGAAACAAGAGGACTAACTGGAAAATTACTTTTTTTATATCTGAATGTGAAGAGAATATAAAAAAAATACTGTGGCAGGAAAAGAAAGAGTACATTAGGAGACCTACATCTGCCAAGATCTGGGCTTGGCAGCCTCAGAAAGAGATACAGCTAGATTTTAGTCAAGGGAATGAGAGGTTATACTGACACTCTAGATAATCAAATTTCAGCACAGTTGCAAGCCCATAGAGTCAATATGTAAAAAAAAAAGAGTACAGTATTGTAAAAAAAATGTATAAGGTTGAAGAAGGCAAGAGTCCAGCTGAGGGGTGTGTGTGAAATATAATTAAAATGAGGCTTTCTGAGTAGTGATTTAAATTGTGATTTAAATCAATTTGATTGAAAGCAATCCACCCTGTTTCAAACAAATCTCATAAGAGTCAGAGGCTCTGAAAATAATTTAATAGTGGAGACATGTTATTGTCTTCTTGATGAAAACGCTCACAGTGGTCTTGAGATGGAGAGAGAAATCAGGGAGGCATGCGGGGAAGACAGTGTTGTAATAATGAGTCACTTTCACTGCCATCACATTGATGGGATGTTTTTCTGTCACAACAAATACCTATATATCGTTAATGATGGTTC